ACACTATATATAGGCGGGCACCATGAGACCAAACAATACAATTCCATGTTCATCATGCACCGCCCTCCTACTAATATCGCTCCCAATACCCACCACCCACCACCTTGCTTGGTCCATGCTGGGGCTAGAGCTAACTGGTCTCGCTCCGGCCACCTCGCCATGCTCTCCAGCAAATCCCGGCATGTGAAAGTTCTCGCCGTCCCTGCCTCCAGCTCCCAAGGCAACTCCAACAATAACATCAGCCAACATACAAAACTAAGGTTCTTGTAAATGAAACTATTTCCCATCCATTGGTATTTGGTATTCCCTCCGTCCCATAGTATAAGAGCATTTTTTTAATATAGTGTAAAAAACGCTCTTATATTATGGGACGGAGGGAGTAGAACATTAATCTCGTCAAATAGCTTCATATATTTGTGGTTTCTTTCATAAAATTAAATTAGGACGGACAAGTTCTTCGAAGTGGAGATGGCCGTCCATGACAACGAACTTGACGAGTATGGAGTTGTTAACAACGCCATTTATGTTGCTTACATCCACAACGGTTGGGACCAAAATGATGTTTGATTGCAGTAGAGTTCGGGTTCTTTACCCTTTATGTACACAATCTTGATTCTTACTTTAAATTGTCTGCAGCTCGAGAGGATCTGGCTGCGAGCATTGGCTTCAGCATGGCCTCCATAGCACGCACCGGCAACGCGATGGCACTTCTGGAGCTGAACCTCAAGTACCTCAAGCCTCTACGAGTATGTACACACATGCTCCCTCTATTCTAATTTAATTAAAGTTTAAGATTTATCCTAGGTCAAACTTATCTATATTTGACCAAATGTATAAAAAATGTGCTAACATTTATTGAACATAAAATATGTATAGTATGCAAATATATATTATGATGAAACTAATATGTGTCGTAGATATTGATGTATCTTTCTATAGACTTTGGTCAAAGTTTGTAACAAGTTTGACTGAGGACAAAGCTAGGACTCCAACTAATTTGCAATGGATAAAGTATGTCGCATCCGAAACCTCTGAGACCGGAAATCTCAAGTTTTTCAGTTCCCGAACTCTAAAATAGAAAGATTTAGTAACCACACTCTCTATGCGCATTTGATTAATGTGCAGCGAGGTGCCAAGTTTGTCGTCAAGGTTAGGATTGTCCAAATAAAGGGCGCGAGGATACTCGTTGATCACTTCATCGAGACGCTGCCGGATCATAAGGTGAAGCAATTGGTATTTCTCAACATGAACGCGCCATGTCCTTTATACTGATAAATCTCAAACACGCACTATTGATCAATCCCACACACACTCATGCTGGTCTCCTCTAATGGCAGCTTGTATTGGAAGCGACAGCGACCATCGTCTGCCTCAACAAGGACTACCGTCCGACCCGCGTCTTCCCAGAGATGTCATCTAAGCTGCATCAGTTCTTCTCATCCAAGGATGGTTAGCATGAAGATCAGTTTACAAGCTATAAGTTATTCTAGTTAATTTCATGTGCGTTGTATTGTAGTTAAAATATGTTCGCCCCTCTGGATGTTGGTTGATTAAAAATTAGTGAACGATACTTTATAGCTTGTAATTTACCAAAGTATTACCCCGCAATATTTTTTACCAAAGTATTTATTTATAATAGGGTGTCTGGGTGCCCTTGTTCGCCATTTTTTGTAATAGGTTTGTTGTGCCGGCATCTAGAGGTAATGCTCATATATTTGTTGGCTCCCTCCTACACTCCAAAGCAAACACAACGTATCCTTCTATCTCCCATATCTTTCAAAGCAAACACATGATATCCTCCTGTATTTTTGATAAAGAGCATTTTCATGCAAACGCTATATCGAGCTAATACAACCCCAATGAGCGAATATCCTACCTCTGCATAATAAGATGCACACAACCAACAAGTCTGATAATGCTTGAATAATGGAGCAACGTGGAAGTTCAAGATCACTAAAAACATCACATCCGTCCCTAGGTCCAACCAAATATAACCAGACCAAAACTTCCATTGTAAACTTTGTTATTGAAAAATGGCCATGTTTTTATGTCGATTTTGCCGAGATAAAAAATTACATCAAAATTATCAACCTACACAAAGAGCTTGAAACGATATTTTAGAAACAGATACATGTACAACTTTGACATGGACAACCATCGCCATCGTTTTAGTGGGTTGTCAGTGATGTGTACAAATCTAGCATTAAGTTTTCACAAACTGGAATCAGTACAATAGACAGCAGCGAGCAAGTTAAGTGATCCATGCATGAAAAATATGGCTTCATGGGCAGTTTCCCGGATGAATCAATGCTTGCCATGATGGGAAATATAGCACGCCAACAACTACCAGTACCGCCGATCAATATAATCACGCATATATGCGTGGAACAATTTTTTTCTCGAGAAAAAGGGCCAAAGGCCCCAGCCCCATTTCTATTACCAAACAAGGCCCAAAGGTGTTAGGTAGCCAAACATCTTACAGGCACGCGGAAGCAGGGGTACAAGCACCACAGCTGCTCCGGCAGGATACGAAAGAAAAAAAAACAGTGCAAACGCGAAAAGGGGCAACATCCTCTCCAAAAAAAAAACCTGGGAATTCCAGTGCTGCCGCAACAGACTTACACAAAAAACCATAAGCTATCAGTACAAAGAGAGTCAATAGGAAGAGAAGAGGGGCATCATCCTCTCCAAACATCAGCATATTTCATCCATCTCTCCTTTTTTTCATTCGCAGCTTCTGATCATGTGTTTTGTCTCGAACCGTTGTGGAGCAACGACCGAGCTCTAGCCCGGGTCTGGCCACATCAGCAAAGGGGTTCCTCTCGCCATGTGATATAGGTTTACCGTGATTGCTTCGACTTGTTCCCTTGCAAGGCCTGAGAATAGGACCTTCCGCAAAGACAGAGTAGTAGCTGTTTTCTTCCATAGATCCTGCATGCCAGACCATGAAGTATGGTTGAATACCATATCATTTCTCACTTTCCAGAAAGACCACAAAATTGCAGCGTGAACCACATTTCCAACTTTATGGGAAGCATCTCTAGTCCACCACGAGGCCAGTCCTTCCATATTAGGAGTCCCAGCAAATCCAGTAAGACTAGTGATACCTTTCCAGAATTCAACCACAACATCATAGTTTAAGAAATGACTACAACTTTCTAATTCAGTGCAGAAAACACAAGTCAAGTCATGCACCTCTTGTCTCTTAGACAGATTGTCCCTGGTAAGTACTTTATTAATATAAACAAGCCAGATGAAAATTTGAGCCCTGAGGGAAATTTTCAGATGCCAAATAGCAGGGATATATGAATGAACAATCCCTCTCAAATTGATGATTTCATAGGAAGACTTGGCAGAATAAACACCCTCAGTATTATACTTCCACACAAGTTCATCCTCCCTATCCATGACTCAGATGGTGCAAGCAATACTAACTAGATCTTCCCAGTTTGAGATCTGCTCAGCAGAAAAACATCTCCTAAAGAGAGTTTAGCTGCAAGCCACCCTGCACTTCATTAAGGGAGCAATTGTGTTCATTACAGATAGTATAGACATCCCTTAATTGAGTAGATAGGGGGGAGCCAAACCAATGGTCTTCCCAAAATCTAGCTTTCCTACCATTGCCAATTTTCCAAAATAACCAAATTTGACTGCTTTAATTGTTGACGGGATACCCTTCCTAATAAGTGAGGCACCCCCAACAGGGCAAGTAAATAGGTTTCGGGACTGGGTTATATACTTAGCATCAACAATGTTTTTCCAGATCTTTCCCTCATCCAATTGGTATCTTCTTAACCAAAAAGCAAAGAGGCAGAGATTCATATTGTCAAAGTCGCCCAAGCAGCTAAGTGGTACTTGCAATGGCCTTCATAATTATCCCAGAAGCAATTATCAAGCTAAGAGTTAATAAGGGTAGTAGCCCATTTAGGGAATTTGATAATCCTCATTAAGTAAAAGGGAATGCTAGCAAGGCAGGACTGTACAAGAATCAATTTCTTGCCCATAGAGAGTAGTCTCCCCCTCCATCCTGCTGCTCTTTTAATGATGCTATCAACCAGAGGTTATAAGTCCTCCTTCATAATTTTGCAATTATGTAAAGGAGTACCTAAGTATGTAATAGGTAGTCTACACCCAAAAGTTTGAGCAAATATATGAGCATCACCACTGGTCATATTAAGGGGAACAAGGTCACATTTGTGGACATTAATTCTCATGCCAGTAAGGTGCTCAAAATAGGACAAGAGCCATTTGAAATTTTTGGCATGGTCAAGGTTTGGACCGACAAATATTAAGGTGTCATCAGCATATTGTATGCTAATGACACCAGTAGGTTTTGATACAAGGAAAAAGACTAGAAGTAGAATTATTACTAGCAACTTTCACAAGCATCCTAGTAAGAACATTAGCAACAAGATTAAAAAGCAATGGAGATATAGGGTCACCCTGCCTCACTCCTTTGGCAGCTACAAAAAATCACTGTTGGCATCATTAACTATGACACCAACAGAACCACCCACCAGAAGGGATTGAATCTTAGCAATCCATTGTGGGCTAAATCCTCTACTAGAAATTAATTCAAAAATAAAATCCCTATTAATCATATCATAGGCCTTCTCATAATCTAATTTAAGAACAAAGCCAGACTGATTATAGGAAGCAACAGAATGTATAATCTCATGGGAAGCAACTACACTCTCCATAATAAACCTACCTTTGACGAAGACAGTCTGATTTGGAGCAATGAGTAAATCACAGATAGGGCCAAATCGGAACATAGGCACCCAGCTTAGAACAAACATGCAACCGATACAAGCATATCAGAACATATACAACTAATGACTCATAAACTTGTAGCTCGACCACAATTAAATTTTTTTTGCTAACAAAGCTGAATCTAAGTTTAACGAAGCCATTCCACAAAATCTTTTTTTGTGACGAATTCCACAAAAATCACTTGAAGGTAGAAGTATTATGTTTAAATTAGACGTGTGTTGTGTTGTGTTGTGACACGCTGATCCTAGTGCACGAGAAGGAATTCATAAGGTGCACATCAAGACAAAATGTCAAGATATACAGTGACTATGGCAAGCACGAGAGAAGTTTGATGGTTTTCATATTTTGCATGAGATGAGAGAGTTGAGTAGTGTTTTTTCGGGGTTTTACGCTCTGGTACTCTAGCTGTCAAACTAATTCAGTGGCTCAATGGCTTGCTAAGGAGGATTTGTCGATGAATAATACCTGGCTAACTAATCTTTACAATCAGATATGCCTTCACCTGTTGAATAAAAGTATTGGAGGGTCAAGAGTCAACTAGTAGTTGTGAAAAGAAGTGAGGGCATCTTTAGTGCTGACCTGCAAATTGTCTCCGGCATCCGTCCGCGGACAGGGGGACTGGGGGACAAATCCGTGGACACTGATGCGGGAGCCGTCCATCCAATGTAACCCGCATACATTTCAAACTACCTTTGAACTAAACCAGACGAATTACATGTAAACCGGATGGTTTTCATACAAACTGGAGCACATTTATTACATTTCAGACATATTTCAACTAAATTATAGCGGACTATGCTAGTATAATGCCGGCCGCGGTGGATCTACATTCCCACGACATGGATTCCCTATGTACGGTTCCGCCACTCACGGACTGACGTGAGCCACAGACGTATATGCTTCAGCGGAAGGGCAAGAGTAGCCTCCACCTCCGTGAAGAACGGATCAAAGTTGGTTTTAGGGCTGGTGAAGATGGTCGCCGTGGCCTTCGCCTTCGCCATATCTTCCCTGTGTCCGGCTGCGCCGCTCATCGGAGTGGCCCGGGAGGGATATGCTTCAGCCGAATAGGAAGAATGGCTCCTTTGCTTCCATGAAGACGAGGCGGGCATGACGATGCTCTGCGCTGAACCGGGCAAGACACCGGCTGGGTATGCCGGTGACGCGGTGACACGGTAGCTGTGGCCATCATGGGACCACTACAAGAAATATGTCAACTTGTGACCTTCTGTCAGCGATCCTGAAAGAAATGGTCGTAAATCTACAACCATTTGAGACCAATTGGTCATAAGCTGTTCGGGGGCCTCCAAACTGGTCCGCTGCCATATTTCTAGCTGATCACGACCAATATAGATGGTCATAGCCTTGTAAATTGTGGTGCATTGCTATGACTAGGTGTCACCTCATTAAATTTGCCTATGTGTCATGTCCATGTGTCAATTTTTGCCTATGTGTCATGTCCATGTGTCAGGTTTTGCCCTAGATTGTGAAGCAACCTACATTTCTGCCATTCCCCAAAAAATCTCACAAATTCTTTGGATAATATCCTCCTAAAATATGTTAAAAACGTTCCTTGCTTAGTTCAAAAATAATTCAGGAATATTCATTTTCTTATTCTGTTCAGAATAGCACTTTGTGAAGGAAGTGTTATTTATATTTTCTTGATTGCCCTCAAAATATTTGG